CTGATTGACGTCATCGTAGTTTTGACAGCAACGAAAACTCGAACGATTAACTCAAAAGAAACATTTTATTATCAAAACTATTTATTAATCATGTCAGATCTTTACAAAGCCGTGAGATGTGCTTTGGAGAAAGACGATCGGCAATATCTTAAAACTATCGAGGCCGATCTGAAGAAGCGAATAGACGCCGCAGCAAAGCGTTCAACTGAGCAATTTTTAAACAAACTGAAAAACACCAGCTTCTGCCTCACGAGAAATTTTGCTGCGGAATCGTACATCCCGGCGTCTGTTCGGAAGACAACAAAGAAGTTTTGTACGGCCTTAAGGTAAACATAACAACATTTTACAAAAATTTCGTGCATTTGTTTATTGGTGATTGTGTAATTTGTGTTAGAACTGTCAAGCTGCACAAGCTATAAAGTTGAAATTTACACGTTGCACGTTGAAATTTACATAGGATTTCGCTTTAATTTACATATAACTGCGGCGTATGCATACGCTTCAAGAGGAATCGAGGAGTGTAATAATGTATTATCACTACCATGTGAACTACGTGTGTACCTAATACCTTCTGTGAAATGTACAACCCGATGTGTCATGTGTTAGGGTAAAGCAGGCCTTGCAATGAAGATAAATCAGATAAAGCCGTCAGCGTCGAGCTTCAAATGCATCGTGTGCTGGCAAACAAAGGAATTCGTGAAGTTTTTCCAAATGTTGCAATTGCTCTTCGAATTTATTTGACATTAATGGTGAGCAACTGTTCGGGAGAGCGATCATTTTCCGCATTGAAACGCATCAAGAACGTGCTTAGGTCTACCATGACAGACCAGAAACTGAACAATTTATCTATAATGTGTATAGAGGCAGAGGTCTTACGCAAAATCGACTTCCAGGATATCATTAAAGAATTTGCCTCTCGTAAATGCCGCAAACCTATTTTGTAAGGTGCCTGATGTAATAAGAAAACTGTATGTTTTTATATTAAAAATCTAGCCAGTACGGCATTCACGCGGGTTTCATATATTTATCTGGAATATTTGCTGTTTTCTATTTATAGAAACCCAAAGATGCGAGTTTGAATCCTCCTTGAAGCGACGAATTATTTGTTGTTTCTTAGCCTTGCCATGCAGTTAAATAAATCGACACGCACTGCGGGGTGGGCCGAAAAAATACAATAGATTTTTCCACAATTGTATATTTGTATATTGGCTTTACTTTAATATAAAGAATCTCTCTCAGAAAGATAACTGAATTTCATTGTCCGAAGTCTGAACACCAGCTGACAATTTTTGAAAATACATAACAAAACATAATTCGAAGATTAACATCTTAAAATCTAAAATATAGGTTAAAACAAGAAAACAAGAATTTTTATCTAAAATCACAATCATTAGTTTTATGATGGTCTTCACAAACTCGTTGTTGCCTTGTTTTAACTATAAATCTATATACGTTCGTAGTTAACACACACTACACAGTCACGCTAATTCCGCCGCAGTCAGACCAGTGCTGACAAAGTGGTTATCATTTGTCACATGAAGGCTCCCCGATAAAAAGATCTCTGGTTGGTGTAAAAAAAGTTTGCTTTTTGCCGGTAACTTCATTACCCAGCCTTGTTATGTTAAGGCCAGTTCAGACGGGCGAATTTGCTGCGATTTATGTCGCAAAGTTATGGAATAGGCTTCATCATGTTAAGTAAAAAATCCGTTAGCGGTAAGGACATTGAACGGCTTATTATACTGACGAATATTACAATAACAATTCAAACGCTAAAATAAGCGATAAATATATAAAAATCGCAGCAAAAATCGCCCGTTTGAACTGGCCTTTTGGTCTCTCGCTTTCAAGTCTCGCCACATTGAACGCGTTTCTATGATTAACGGTAGACTGGAACTAGTGTTTCTCTACATTCCTGGGATTGGCGGGATTGGTAATCTGGGTATTAAAAATACTACGCCTGCCTGACCAATCTGACAGTATTTATACTACGTAGATTCTAGCGAACCGCCTGACCTAACTAGTGCCTGCGTGCCCTACTATACTTGGCAGTGCTGACCCCATGACAAGACATTCAAGCCCCGTTTACACGACAAACAATTCTGGCACGGTACCCTTAAATATTGGCACCGTACCATTTTGCCTCCCCGTTTACAGGACAAAAAGTTTGCAAAATTGCCGGTCCAAAAAAATTTGACCGGCACTCCAATAATTTGGCACGGCACTCGTAAAAATTGAGCCCTAAGGCACATTTTTCAGCGGTTGATATTTCCGCGGGAAAATTTAAAAATGGCGGCTTTTAACCAAGTACACAATCTCAAATTACTGCTACTTTGGTTCCTTCGAAGAAGAAGAAAAAGAGCTAATATAATATTAAATAAAAAAAGAATGCTGAAATCAGATGTTTATTCAACAAATAAACTCCGTATATCATTTTTGAAGGCAATTTTAGTATGGGTTAATCGTCCACGTTACAGAGCACTGTGGATGCATCCACGGTCATTTTACTGGTTCAAGATGGTTGATCGAGAGTATGATGACGAACTTTGGTATTCCAACTTTCGAGTTACAAGGGGAACATTCGAATTTCTTTCAAGCAAGGTGATGAAATATATACGCCGCAAAGCAGGGCGCTTATATACCGTATATAAGCGCCCTGCCGCAAAGATACAGTCATGCGCTCTGCAATTTCGGCGAAGCGACGGCTGGCCATTACGTTGTACTTCCTGGCATCCACTGCTGAATATAGAACTATAGCCAATTTATTTGGTGTTTCAAGATCGTTCGTGTGTTTATGTGTTAGAGATGTCTGCAAAGCGATAACAAGCAAGTTGTCGCATGTCGTGAGTTTTCCGCATGGAGATGAATTGGTGCAAATTATCCATGATTATGAACAACGCTGGGGTTTTCCCATGTGTGCTGGAGCAATTGACGGGACACACATTCCCATCGTGGCACCGGCCGAATGTCATGCAGAATATGTAAACAGAAAAGGCTATCACAGCATAATCATGCAGGCTGTTGTAGATTGCAAATACCTGTATAGAGATGTGGTGATCGGTTGGCCTGGGAGCGTTCACGACGCACGTGTATTTACAAATTCACATATTTTCAAGAAAGGAAATGAAGGCAATCTATTTCCAGATAATCTCACTATGGAAATACAAGGAACAGAATTGTCACCGTTTATAGTAGCGGATCCTGCTTACCCCCTCTTGCCATGGATTTTGAAAGGTTTTCAGAGAAAAGATGACCAGCCGAGAAGAGAAAGGGTGTTTAACTATCGCCTTAGCAGAGCCAGAATGACGGTAGAAAACACCTTCGGTAGGTGGAAAGGACGTTTCATTAGATTTCGGAAGTGTGTTGATATGGAGGTACCTGCACTGGTCAATGTCGTTTAAGCCTCTTGTATTCTGCATAACATTTGCGAGATTCAAAACAACGATTTTTTGCCGCAGTGGGAAGAAGCAGAAACAGCAGAGGAAGCAGTTGTGGGGGTTGATAACGCTGACATTGTAGAAGCTGATGCACACGATATTCGTGAGGCATTAGCTGATCACTTTTTTTAGCTAGAAATGCTGAGCACAATAATTGATACAACGATGTTAAACTGATATAAATATGAGTATCGATTGACACTAAAACTTAAACTGTATTACTGTTCGCAATATAAAGGTTTTACATGAAAAAACTCTATACAGAAAAAAATTATATGTTGTTAACTTTAAACTTAGCGTACAGTATCTTGATAATTGTTACCAACGTGTAATCCGAAGCAAATTGTCGCATACGCAAGGTTCTTTTGTGTGCATGGCTCTATGCCGACACTTGCATAAAAAATGCAGTAATAACACAACGCACTAACCCAGAATGGATAAAGAACAGCAAATATGAACACGCTACTTAATCCTTAAGACTAAGTTTAAAACTGTACAAAAGGGATTTATAAACCAACATAGGTTTTGTCTCCGTCCAAGTTGTAGCGAGTAAGACTTTGAGCATCATATCCGTAACTTGTTTCTATATTGGTTTGTTGCTGAACGCTGGCAAATGGTTGAGAACAAACACTGGATACAGAGCTGCTTGAATTTCGACCCAACAGATTTTGTGTTGCCAATCATCATTGTTTCATCGGAACCAAGACGACCGGTTAGGACAATTTTAGATTAAGCACGTGGCCAAGGAACTCGCAAATCGTATTATAAATTATATTAAACAATTCGATCTAGAATAAGAGCAAATCAATACAAAGAATATTAATAAAAACATGCATATATAGTTCCGATCAAGTTCGCACGTGTGATAAAATTACCCTTAATAATATGACATAAACAACAATATAAATTCGATAGCTTACTTCTGTAGTGAGGTCCTTTAAGCATATACTTAATGATGGCGCAGGTTAGCTTGTCGTAGTCTCTCACAGATACTTCACATTAATCACATACATACATACATTTACACATTTTCCGTCTCTCTTGCTCTATTTTCCTATCTCACTAATTATGTGCTGGTGTTAAATGTTAATACATGCTCTATATGACCTCATGGTCAAAGTTTATGTCACATGTCCATCATGCCTAGTGAAGCTGTTGATCCAATCATACTAAAAATTTTTAACTCGTGTTCCCTTTCTTCTTTTCTTCTTTCATTCTCCAGTCTTGCTTGTTCCATCTGAAATTGGTGTTCTTTCTCCAACCTTGTCTCTTCAAGTTTCTTATATCTAGAAGATATTAAGAAGGGGGGTAGACTATTTGTCTATTTAAAACCCATAGTTAGATTGACAGTAATAATGTTTAAGAAGCTTTTATACTATTATTGTTTGGCCAATTTTGGACAACCTTTTTTGGTAAAGTTGTATAGAACAAATAAGGCATGCAATGATACCACAACTTTGTGAAAATTATTGAAGGAAATAAAGTTAAAAAATTAGTATTTAACTTCTAAAAAACATTTCTTGATTTTACATGTAAGTTTAAAATATATTATGCATGTCTGAAATAATTGCTAAACCACATATTGTTGAAATACTGCAAAAGCGATGTCTGCTCTGCGAAACTTGCAGTTTACACAGCTTTATAGAGTAAAACAACTTTCTTCCTGCTTGATGTTACTCCATACCTATTCCATACCACCCTAACTGTTACAGGTAATTAATTGTGTGCAGTCTCCTTGAATTGGTTAAAAGCAACTTCCATGCTTTTCTCAATTGAACTCTTTTTCTTCTTCCTTGTTCCAACCTTTTTCTCATGTGTACCTTTCCCTTTTATGGCTTTCTCTTCTTGGTTTTCTAATTTTAGATCAATTTCCTCTGGCACCTCTAATGTATTCAGTCAAATTTTTTTAAGTACAAAGAATGAGGGATCCACCATAGGGACCCATATACACATTTATTGAAAAAGATTTTGTCTCAAGTGTCCCAAGTAGAATGCATGGGTGGGGGAGCAGTAAAAAAATAGGGAATTAAGGAAAAATGGCAAAATTGCTAGGAATTAATAGATGGTCAGGACATGGTCTCCCAAAAATTATTTGAAATATTAAATCCTTTTTGGCATATTTCATCTACAATTAAATGCAATGAAATATCAAATATTGAGTAGTATTAATTATTATATAATGCATGTTTTTTTCTAGTTATCAGAGATTATCGAAAAATAAAAGAACAACATTTAATAATGTTACTCTTACCAACAGCAATTGTATTTCCATCAACAGTACTTGGGCCACATTTTGGACAAATAAATTCATCCTCTTGAGCATACACCATCAGAGAACCACCCTCAGTAACGTGTGTTCCTTCTGAGTAAATATTTTGTTCATACTCACACTTCTGGCATTTGTGAATATGTGTTGAACCTCCCCCATACTTCTCCATTAGATTTTCAACTAGCAAAAAATTAACATGCTCTTAGGATCAATAAAGTAACATTCAATAATTAAGTATTCAAATTACTTTACAACAGATGGTACAAATTTAATACAATTTCGACTTAAAAGATCCATGCAGCTGACAAATGTTTAGAAAAACCAAGCCACATTACATTTGCTGATTTTGATAACTCTGAAACTCACATATAAATATATGCATAGGGTATACCTAAACTCTCTTCATCGTCTGAAGAATCATCACCATTGTAATCCATTTTCTCAGATTCTGCCATTGTGTCCACAAGAGCAACAGGAATGACATTATGCCTTTGAGAAAGGAACCTGTCCATCTGCTCAAAGAACGGCCACGTCTTGCTTCTACCATTCCCACTCTTTTTCGTTTTGTCTTTTTCCGATTGATATTTTTGCCTTAACTTTTTCATCTTATTTACCACTTCCTTTAATGTGAAGTCACAATAACCTTTTGCTCGTAACTGATCCAACAAAATAACCTGATTTATTAAGTAACATTCAAATTAACATTCTGCTTGATGGATAAACATGCAGTAACTACTCCACAATATATCAGATACCACAAGAAGTCGCAAAAACTAGGAATCTTCCTCAGACCTCAGTGCAGGCAGCGTGCTATTAAATTAAAAGCCTAAGAAAAATGTTAAAAAATATACGGAATATTAACTTACCAGTAACCGCTGATCAACTTTACTAGTCTCTTTAGAACCTTTAGAATGATCGAATGCTTCCTGAATTGTATCGTCACACCAAAGATTAAGAAGTGTTTTCGTTGCTTCGTTGCTCCACACCTTACCTCGGTTTTTCTTGATGGCGGCCATTTTGGTTTACTAATACCCGCAAAAAGGCGCGAAGTATATGTTTGCGTCATCGGATAGAGAAAAGTGCTCAGATAGCAAAATTTTAGGCACGGTACCGCGGCGGGCCGAGACTACCTCCAGAGGTGGTCTCGGCCCGCCAAAAATTTTAGGTACCCGTGCCGCAATTGCACAGGACCGGTACCGTTTACATGACAAAAATTAAGAGTTCCGTGCCCTTTTTTTTGGCCCGGGTGCTAAAAATTAAGCGTGCCGTGCCAAAAATTGTTGACGTGTAAACGGGCTTCAGCTCCGGGTTCGTGGCTCCGGGTTCGAGCGAACCCGGAGCTGGAGTGGCTAGTTTTCATACAAACCGATGTGGCCGTTTCTCTTTTAATGCATGGGAATCGAAAAATTTATAAAGGCCATTCTTCTTTGTTATATTATCAAGAACATGGCCTAGAATGAGAGTTTTATTTTATTTACTTTGCTCGCAATAGCTCCGTAAAGTTAGGTATTTTTTTGCAAAGTTGACCGGTCAGCGGCGGGCGACCGCCAGGCTTTATAAAAGTTCGATTTACTAGCTTTACGACGAGCTTTTGTAAAAACTAAAAGATGGCCATTCGAGAGAAAGCTTATGAAAATAACCTTATAGTTCTAACCTTCTTCTAGCTTGCGAAACCACGACAGGCAACTTCTGCAAAGTCTGGCCGTCTGATTTCATGTACGCACCCGTGGCATAAATTTAATCTCTTCGCGAAGACAACTAACCCGGTTTCTGCAATTTTTCGTTTTTCCACATTGGTTTATTGAACTGTAAATGTCATATCATCAATGCTAACAATTATTCGAGTACTCTAAGCAAAAAATATCTCTTCTACCTGTAATATGCTACGGAAACAACACCGTCAAACAAGTGTACACAAAGCGGGTCAAATCGACGAACGGCCATTGCATGTTAAGTACGCTTTTCATCGCCGAGATTTTTTCGCTGATTTCTTCGCTGATTCGCTTGAGTAAAATAAAGGATGGCATTGGAGATTTACATCATACACTTCCACCACAAAGATCTGAGTTCTAGGATTCGTATCCAGTGACTTGTTGTATCCAGTGTCTGATGGAGCTTCTCTGGTATTTTTCCGGCAGATAATTGTTTCGATATTGTGCACATATATAGCACAGTCATTCTCTCATTTCGTTGACTGTTCCCTAGCTGTTTACTGTTATTGCTTATTGTATGAGCCTGCTGATAATGTGGAAAAATTACGTTAAATCATCATTCCTTGTGGTAATTGTGTTTAATCTATCTCTAGGGAATATCTTTCCGCATTCTACCAAAAGCACCCGTGATGTCACAGTTCCAAGCATTTATTGTACAAACATTGACTTATGAATATGTGCCCTACGAAATCCAACATTCCTATTTATCCGCAAGGTGCGATAGCGTAATTAAAATGTATAGTCCTATGTTTCCTATTCAGGCATATCTTGGGGGATTAATTTGCCTTTAAACTCCAGTCAACCACAGTTAAGTTCAATTTGGGCCTTAAAACGCTGACCGAAATGGTGTAATAGACGATTTCCTTCTGCATTGCCTTATTATTGCCGAATGTATCATGATGCACACGTCTATAAATAGCATTCGGAGGTGGCTGAGGAGGCGCTACACCCAGTTTTAACAAGGTGGTCAGTTAAACGAGATATCGGTCGGTATATAGCACACAATCGTTGGTTTAAAGCATAATTTGCTCAGCTTGCTTAGATGCTTGCGATAATTTCTGAAGTCGTGTCACTCTCTGAGCCATAACATTAGAAGCATTTCAGCGACAAATTCCGATCCGATCATTAAATTTTGTAAAGACGGATTAAATTCGGTTTTCACTGCTTATAAGTTCTTCAAACGCGCTTTAAGTGCCACGTGTTCGTCGTAAAACGTGTTTCAAACAACCCCCCCCCGATAAGTTAGGAAGCGTGATTACGTCAAATTCAAATCATGCAGAACATTGTAAATGTATAGACCAATTCAACCTGATAAGCAAATTACCCATAAATTACCCATGATTTCAACAGTGTTATGACATATGGCAACAAATTCGAAATAACAATTATTGTCATCAAAACCAAAAATTAACCACCCGCTTATCGACGCCACATTGTTCAAATACTTATAATATAGAGTATTGTTGAATATTTCATACTTAAATTATTGTGCCGTAGGATCAGTTAATTAATAATTATTTGATGAGGTTGAGTGTGATAACGAGAAGTATCAAGCCGAAGTTTGCGTTATTATAACTGAAAAATAGCAATGAAATACTGAACCTGTTTGTTAAGATCTGGTTTGTGTTTGCGTATATACAGAGCCTCTTTGAGTTTAAGAGAGAAGGAAGTGTTAGCAGTGTCTAGGATAGTGAAGCAAGAGCGGGTGTAGTTAGATTTGCAGTTAGGGTTTTGTAGTATTTTAGACGTGTGAGTTTTTGTCAGTGGAGGTGTGTTCTTTAATCCTTGTAACGGGAAGCCGTGTTGTTTCACCAATATTATGTAACAGGAATAAGATCACTAAGGATTGTGTCCTTAAGGCTAAAAATATTTTGATTTTGAGGGAAGTGAACACTAGCTTTATGTTGATATCACTGAAAAATCGTTTGGCAATGTTGAGGTGGTTTGGAGTAATGAACGTTGGGTTGTTGTTATTCCTGTTATTGTAAGAACTAATGATGCGTTCAACCAGATATTGCGGAACGAATTGCGTTGAAGTATGTGTAAGCTCTTTAAGATCGTTGTTGAGGCCATCTTCGGTGTTATTAATTTTGTAAATGCGACCCATAAGTGTTTTCATGAGACCTGATTTATACCGAAATGACGCAAAGCTAAAATAATTGGTCAAAAGGCCGGTGTAATTTTTCTTGTGAAAAACGGAGGTCGAAAATGTTGTGGGAGATTTCTTAATAAGTATATCAAGGAACGAAATTTTTTTATCTTGTTCCGTTACGAAAGTTAACCTAATATTCTTACAGCAAGAGTTTAGATAATCGAAAAATAATGTAGCGTCAATTTCATTTTCAAACATGTAAAACGTGTCATCAACATAACGTCGGTAGAAAAACGGCTTATATTTCCTGTGTAATTACTAATCCAATCTCTTTCGTGGTGGCCCATGAAAGATTGGCCAGAACCGGAGCTAACGAAGAGCCCATTGCCACACCATCAATTTGATCATAAAAAAACCATCAAAAAGGAAATAAGTCTGTGATGTACCTATAATAAATAAATGTGTGAGGTCTTTTTTGTTAATTGAATAATTAAAGCATTAAGTGAGAATAAGATTAGCCGCAATTTCAATAGTTACATTCAAAAGGATATTGGTAAAAAGGCTTTCAACATCAAAAGATATAGGAATTGTCTAGTGCTGTCAAGTTTGGAAAGTTCATCAACAAATGAGAAAGAGTCCTTAGTGATGTAGTCGTCCGGTATAAGAGGGTTGAGTAATTAAAGAGCATAAGTATCTGCTAAATTGTAATTATTTAAGTATTGATAAAGGAAACTATAGGCCTAAGTACATGAGAGCTAATAAATCAGGATCGCGGTATTTATGCAACTTAGGTAAGCCATAAAAGGCCTAGCTAGTTGAGACCCTCTGGGTATGATGACATCCTGATAAACCTTATCAGCTATATATAGAGCCTTGCAATTGCTTCTTAAATCTACGAAGTAAGCGTTCAAGTCTACCTTTGATGCAAAGTGTAGGGTCATCCGATATAATAATTTCACCTATTTTTGTCGTTAATAATGTTTAGAAAGGGGTTTTTAAACACTAATCTATCCATAATAACTACACTATTTGTTTGCCTGGTCTAATTAAGTACGATAATGTTGTTGTGAGTTATACATTTCAGCAACATTTTCAAACATATAATAAATGAATAAATTTTAACGTCTTGAAGAAAAAAATAAAACTATTGATTTTATTTTAAAAAACATAACGGGAAGATGTTACAAATATGCCAAAATATCTTGAAGAGGCAAAAGATGCCTATTCATTTTGGCAATTGGTAAAAGAGAGAATCCAAACCAAGTATTTAAGTGTCAATGGACAAGGATTGGAGCAGCGAAATATAACTACGGAAGAAGATGTATATATAGATCTATGTCTTAGATACATTATCCATGTGACTGTTCCTCAACATGGGAATTCATACAGAAAGCGCTCTTTGGCATTAATGATAATGCGAGTGGCAAGACCTCGCTAGCCATTGTTGGAATGCGGGCATTCTTAAAGTGACGATAAGGGGATATTGACTTTTTTCATTGTACCCAATAAATTGTTGTTGTTAGTTAATGTTCCATATCAAGGTATAATTTACATTTGAACATATAACATATACATTGTATTTAGAACATTAGATTTTAGAACAATTCCATCGAGCTTATCACCTCATCACCTGCTATTGAATATAGCTATGTAATACGTATTTTGCATTAATTCTTCATGCTGTCAAATGCAATTAGTCTTTTGAACATGATTTACATGAATTACATAGAAAACTCTACAGGACGTGTGTACATAAAGTTTGCAATGCACACTTTGTTTTAGATTAAACCCCCATTAGTTATTAGCAATATTTGAATTGTATCCTGGTTACGTCCCGTGAACAGCTTTAAGT